GGAAGAGGAATGAAGGAATAAATGGAATCTAACATCGACCGTGACATTTAATGAAGTCACACATTAGGGGCTATCGTTGCAATTATGAACCTATTACCTTTTATCGCATTGATTTATCGAAGTTTGTTTAGGGGACACTCAAATTATAATTAAAATGATTAACAACTTTGTCAACACTTTTAAATGTGTATATACAACACTTTCTAGCTTAATCTGCAATTTATGTTATGTAAAAACTGTAGGATTCTGTGTTTTGTAGGAAACTCTTGTTATATTGCCGTATAGTCGAAGGCTCCAGTAGCTTTGTCAGCAACGTTAAATATACTTATACATCACTTTCTATCTTAATCTGCAATTTATGTTATGTAAAATGTATAGGATTCTGTGTTTTGTAGGAAACTCTTGTTATATTGCCGTATAGTCGAAGGCTTCAGTAACTTTGTCACCATCGTTAAATATACATATACATCACTTTCTATCTTAATCTACAATTTATGTTATGTAAAAACTATAGGACAATGTATGTTGTAGGAAACTCTCGTTATATTGCCGCATAGTCAGCGACTGTCCCAGTAGTAAAAAATTATTTCAACTAGCAATATGTTATTTATATTTCAAATTTAACACATAATTATAATATATAAAAGGTTTGGAAATGTGGCAATATAACGAGAGCGTCCCTGTGTACCGTTTGAAATCGATTGAAATTAAACTACATGATATATTTTAAAATTTGTAAATGAATATGTATCATAACAAGCATTTTATTTGAAATTAAAATGTAAAATAAATATATATTAATTTAAGTTAATTATCACTTTGTATATTTCTTAAGAAATAAAAGAGACGAATAATTGAGTACAATGAAATATAACAAACTTGTCCTAAGCCTCTGATAATGTACCTAAAATTTAGCACGCTGTCACAAGCGTTAAATTGGTATTTAATTAATTTCATCACAAATTGCTACCACGAACAATACTTTAATTTTCTGGTCGGGTGATTAGCAGTTCTCGCAAGATGTTTCGCTTTTACTCGGCCGGCAGGTTGTTCGTGTTTCGCTTCGTAATTTTATCGTGTTCCGTTCTATTGGGATCAAATCGACGTCCCGGGGAAACAATCGGCTATCGAGCAGATTACTTGCCTTTGTTAGGGTACAACATCGTGCCAGGATCTAATTGCCGTTTCGACGTCGACGAAAAAATATTATTGTTCGCGGTGCGCTGCAAAATCTCCCACTCCCCCTATTGTGTCTCAGTTCTCTTTCTGAAACTCGCCAACAGAGACTCTTATTACACGGCCGGCTAATAATAGCGCTGGTTTACACTTAGCTACCAATGTTTGCATCGCGTACAGGTAATAAGATGGTCGACGCCGCGTGATTGAACGAAGGTGTGCGTCGATTTCGTGATACAACGGGTGACGCGTTCCAATTTCCCGCCAAAATTAATCGACGCTATATAATTTTATGTCAAAATCAATCGCCGTTATCGAATTAGTGTTATAATGAATTTATATCTTCAAATTTCCTGTCAAATAAGTTAACGCGTTTAAATTTCCCGCCAGAATTATTCGACGCTATATAATTTTATGTCAAAATCAATCGCCGTTATCGAATCAGTGTTATAATGAATTTATATCTTCAAATTTCCTGTCAAATAAGTTAACGCGTTTAAATTTCCCGCCAAAATTATTCGACGCAGTATAATTTCATGTTAATATCAATCACCGTTATCGAATTAGTGTTATAATGAATTTATATCTTCAAATTTCCTGTCAAACAAATTTACGAGTTTAAATTTCCCGCCAACTTAAATCGATGCATTTAAATTTCCCGCCATAAGGGATTGAGATGTTTAAATTTCCCGCCAAAATGTATTATTGAGACCGCCGCTTCAGTAACACTTAAATTCTGTAAAATAACATATCTTTTTGTTTAAATTAGACTTATAATAAAATTTTAAGACTATGAAACGTTGAAATAGTACAATTTTGAAAATTTTTAAAACTAGAATTTTTTTATTAAAAGGGTTGTTTGAGCTTTGCTAAATAATAAGTAGTCAATAAATATCTATATGTATCTTATATTGATCTTAACATAACAAGATTGTTCAATTAAATATTTAAATTTGATAGAAGACATTTTGAGTACAATCAAAATACTATCTTTTGAGAAGTTATATTTTTAGAAAAAAGAACAATGTACCGTTTACCTTAAAGTGTGTCACCCGATGTATGGTGTGTTGTTCAAGTTAGCTCAGACGTAATACGAGACTGGCCATACGAGGCGGCCACTTATGACGCTCGATATAAACCATGCCTACTAATACCAATAAAAAAAGAACCAATACTAACACCATTTTTTCCGCCGTCACTCTCTTGGTTTCATCGAGTTTAGCTTCACTTGTTGCATTTGACAGTGTATCAAATAGTCGTACAAGTAATGGTTTCAGGATAGATTTATTAGTTTATTAATAATGACGACTTAAAGGATAAATAAAAAATTGTGAAGACTCCAGTTTTGATGCACTTGTGAATTGCGAGAGAATTTTGAGTGGATTATGTTAAATATTTAAATAGAAATTTGAAGGTGCACATGTGTGATATGAGCATCGATAATAATGTATGATGTGAAATAAATATATGACGTAATAATAAATATAATTTATAATATATGAAATATTATATTTATAATAATGAAATCAAACAAAAAAGTTCAAAAACGAAACTCAGTTCAAAATACTATTTTTTTTATTATGAAAGCATATCTCTGTAATGGAAAAATCATATATGCATTTAAAAATTAATATTTTCGCGCGCGCGGGTTTTAGCAGTACTACTATCACTACCTAGCTTTCAAGTGTGGAACTACAGAAATAAAAAATTGCATACATTTCGACAAATAAGGCATTTTTAAGATTTTCTGTGAGTCGCAAATTGTTTTATGGACATGATAGAGTCAGAAAAATGAGATCATAATGGCCTCGAAGCTTTATATTTAAAAATTAAGCAAATCGTGGACCGCAAAAAGCCTAGCCATCTAGCGGTGAAAGGTAGGAATCAAAGGAATGATATAAAAAATATGATTTTTGCATTTATTACTATTTAACAGTTCTAAGACGTTCTAAAATTAATTAATGTTGCCTTGTGATGACTTTTATTGTATGTCATTGCTTATTTAGGCATAAAAATGATTAATAATCAAGTTTAATAAAAAAATGGTACTTGTGGCGCCATCTCTTTGATGAGACGGGTGAACTAAACCTAAAAGATGAGGGTCCGAACACGCATATAAGGAAAATCGAAAAATGAATACTTCGGCACTTTTGCGACGTAGTACGGTTCCTGAGGCATTTAGAACCAAATTTCGATTAGGGTTTGATGCGTTTTGATGCCTAATAAAACCAGAAAATCAATTTTTGTCGAATTCGGTCCAAAACGGTACAGGTGGCGCCATCTAGCTGCCAGCGGCGGAACTACGGAAAACTAAAATTTCTATTTTCTCCGAAATTAGGCAATTTTACGTATTTCTGAAGGTCAGAAATTGTTTTGTGACCTCTCTAGAACCTATATATTGCCACAAGAGCCTCGTCAGAGCTCTAAAAAAGAAAATAAAAAAATTGGTCAAAACATGGACTAAAAAATTGGCGTCCATCTAGCGGTGAAAGTCGGAACTACAAAAATATAAAAATTCGATTTTCTCGAAAATTAGCAAACTTTGAGTACTTCTGAGGCTCAGAAAGTGTTATGTGATCGCAGTAGAAGCATAATAATTATGTGATCGCATTAGAAGCAAAATAATGCAATAAAAGCTTCCTAAAGGGCTTAATAAAGAAAATTTAAAAAATGTCATTTTATGGAGAAAATTTGTGGCGCCATCTAGCGGCGAAACAGCGAACTAAACTGAAAAAACGTATGCCCGTACACGCGTTAAGGAAAAATATAAAAAGTAATATTTCGCAACTTTGACGACGTAGTATGCTTCTTTAGACATTTTAGAGCAATTTTTGTTGAATAAGTTATTCATTTTTTGGCCTATTAATCCCAGAAAATCAATTTTTATTTAACCCCGTTACTGCGTGTTCGGACATACGGTTTTTCAGTTTAGTTCTCAGTTTCGCCGCTAGATGGCGCCACAAATTTTCTCCATAAAATGACATTTTTTTTATTTTCTTTATTAAAACTTTCAGGAAACTTTTATTGCTTTATTATGCTTCTAATGCGATCACATAACACTTTCTGAGCCTCAGAAGTACTCAAAATTCGCTAATTTTCGAGAAAATCGGGTACTCAAAGTTCGCTAATTTTCGAGAAAATAGCATTTTTATATTTTTGTAGTTCCAACTTCCACCGCTAGATGGACGCCAATTTTTTAGTCCATGTTTTGACCAATTTTTTAATTTTCTTTTCTAGAGCTCTGAGGAGGTTCTTGTGGCATTATATAGGTTCTAGATAGGTCACAGAACAATTTCTGACCCTCAGAAATACGTAAAATAGCCTAATTTTGAAGAAAATCGAAATTTTAGTTTTTCGTAGTTCCACCGCTCGCCGCTAGATGGCGCCACCTGTGTTTTGGACCGAATTAGACAAAAATTGAGTTTCTAGCTTTATTAGGCATCAAAACGCATCAAACCCTAATAGAAATTTGTTTCTAAATGCCTCAGGAACCATACTACGTCGCCATAGTGCCGAAATATTCATTTTTCTATTTTTTTTATATGATTATACGGACCCTCATCTTTTAGGTTTAGTTCAGCCGTTTCGCCTCTAGATGGACGTCAATTTTTTAGTCCATAAACTGCACGTTTAAATTTAAATGGAATATGTACTTACCTTCTGATGTACTTCATAGTTTCTCCATCTTGAAACATAAAGTGCTGAACGAAATGCAAAGTTCTCGATTTTAGCAATAATCATGAACCAACAGAATTACTATTATCACAACATAATATAAAAGATTAGTAATAATTTTAGTACTTAATTCAATAATTCGGTACATGTTGTATATTCAAATTGTATATTTGAACGATGACATGTATATCTACATATAATTACAAAGAATTCCATCGAACCAGCGTGACAGTTACACGTTTCGAATTTACAAAACATAAATTATTACCATTTGTTTCATAAAAACAATTATACAGGAGAGCGATGGCGATCTTCGCAAATTAATTAATTAAGTTATAAAAATCGCGGATACTCTAACGTGGAGGGAGATTCGTATACAAATTAAACTATTCTACGCCTTTTTTTTTGTTTTCTTCGTATTTTTCGGGCTTTTCACGGTCTTCGCGGGCGTGGCTTTCTTTTTCGTCGTTTTCTCCGCTTTCTTCGCGTATTTGTCGATCAACGAGTCGAAAAATTTATCGGATTGACTCGCTCTCGCTTCGTTGCGACTCTGAATGGCCAAAGCTAGATTATTTGCAGCTGCGTTTTCCTCGTTCTCGATCTTCAGCATCTTTTCAAGACGTTCAGCTTCTTCAGCTTCCTTGGCCCACTAAAAATAAACAAATCTGATATAAATATTTTTTATACTAATAAACTTCTATGGTATAAATAAACACTGTGAAATTTCAAGGTAGTCAATTTTTATATTTAGGAACTCCTTTTCTAAATATAAAAATATTTTACTTTACAGGTTTTCATCATTGTTTAAATTTATCAAATTTGCAGGGGTTGGAAATTTTTGTGTTTAACAATTCAGAAATTTGGCAAGTTGGAAATTTGGAAACTTGACAATTTTATTTAGAAGTTTTTCAATTCGGTAATTAGTGAATTTGGAAGCTTGACAATTTTGTTATTTAATTATTCAGTAATTAGTACATTTGCTTTGGGAAATTCTAAAAATATGGAAATTAAAAATTTGTAATTTTGAACTTGATAATTTAATAATTTTGGTGCTTGAGATTTTTCCATATTATTGACCAAAAACTATAAAATTTCAGAATTGAATAAATTTGAAATTTGTAATATTCTTTGCAGTATTTACAAATGGAATTCAAAATGGCAGACAAGTAGTTCAAGATCTCTCCCTATTTTAACCCTCCATAAAAATATGAATGCATCAATAATTTTAATTAGACAGTTTCTGCTTTCTCGTCCACTTGACCCAGATTAATAAGCATCTGGATTAACGAGCAACAGATAGTACCAGAGACATATAAATCACAGGTTGATCGGGTGCATCTTGTAGGCGTCCTTATTAACGAAATTAATTGCTACCACTTCAACGATAGGGCTGGCTCTATTTTCAAAGTTAGCCATGTGTCTATACTCGAGATTGTATGTATTATTTTAACCTATTTTATCGTTAATACTATCATCAGTAGTAGACACTTCCTTTCTTAATTAAGAAAATAATAATTGTTATATGTATCCATATGTGATTATTATATGTATGTTACACATATGTCATTATTACACATATGTGATATATATGTGTTGTATTTAATTATGTATGTGTTATGTATAGTTAGTATGGTTAATTATTAGACGTATATCATACATGTGTAACATTGCACATATGTCACACATGTACATGTATGATGTTTAAATTATTTTACATATGTGATATAGAGGTACATGTGAAATATGTAACATATATGTATAATATAGAGGTGTTTAGTCATTACATATATGTCACACATGATAAATATTATACTGAAATTATTACACATATGTCACACATGTACATATATGATATTTAAATTGTTTCACATATGTGATATAGAGGTACATGTGTAATATATGTAACACATATGTATAATATTAGTAGAGGTGCTTAGTGATTACACATATGTCATACATGTATAATTGTGTCACATATGATAAATATTATACTTCCATTGTTACACATGTATGATATATTAGTATACCGTTTAACTATTATGTGTATGTGTCACATATGTATAGTTATTATGCTTAATTATTGCACATATGTCACATATGTATAAGTATCAGACATAAATTACTACATACTTGCTATATGCAATATAATCACACGTAATATGATTATTATGCATAATTATTACACATAAGTCATATACGCTCATTATACTCATACGTGATATATAGGTATTATATTTAATTTTGTATGTGTTGTGTACAGTTACTATAATCAATTATTACACATATATCATACATGTGTAATTATTACATATGTGTCATATAATAATCATCCCCAAATATTACACACACATCATACATAATAATTTTCTATAAATCAGCATTTTAACTTCATTTCAAATTTATTATCAGTTTTAATGAATTTTTCAATTACCCTAAATTGTTAAAGTCTCATACATAATTTGAACTGTACCTCAACTACATACAATGTTTCAGTTATACAATAGATGAAAATTTGCCCAAGTATCATGTATTTTTGCATCGGATGTGATGTATTTTCGCGAATATAAAAATAGAATCAGATGAGGTGAGCGTTTCGTTGGGAGTTGTTGAAACAACGAGTCATACGCTTTATTACCTTTCACTGTTGATTGAAAAACCATATTGCTGGCACGTTGCCTTTCTGTTTCTTTAAACAATACGTCAAAGCGACGGCATCCGACATTATTGAACACCATCCGTTAAAATTAACTTTCTTTTAGCTGAACGGTTCTTGGAAAGCGGTTTCAAGACAGTTGGGCAACTGTGCCCCGAGGGCAAGGGCATAATGTATCCTCAGGTGTGTTGGTAAACGTAATTAATTTTACTATTTCAGAATTTTTAATTTTTGTGTTGACAGTATTTTAGTATTTTTTGTTTAAGTATTTTAGTTAGTATTTTTCTAAATTTTTAAATTTTGAATTTAAGAATTTATTTTTGTATTGACAGATTTTTCTAAATTTTTCAATCTGAAAATTTGTAATTTTTGTATTTACAGAATAACATTTTTTAAATTTTTTAATTTGAAAATTTGGGGGTTGGAAAATGAAAAAATTCCAAATTTTGAAAGTATGTTAAATTTCTAAATTTTTCAATTCTCTGGTTTCCAAATTTCCAAATTCTTAAGTTTCTAAAGTTCTACTTTCGCAAATTTTCATATTTCCAAATTTTTAAATTTTCAAATTGTGAAATACAAAAATTCAAAAATTTCCAAATCTAATAAATATTTAGAGATTTGAGAGTTATAGTAAGTTACATAAATTAGTAAGTTACAGAATACATAAATTTAAAAATATGTAAAATCCACTATTTCATGAGTAATAACCATTCCTCTCCTTATATCGCCATATTTGCCCTATAGTACCAGTTTCCATTAACTCCCGCCTCTATATTGCACAAGACCTACTCTAACCCCAATAACTATCATGATAACATCCACAATGAAACATTACAAAAATAATAAATAAAACTTGCAAAAATAAAATGTTCAATACCTTATTAAATACAGTCATGAAATAATTTTTCATTCAAGCAGAAAATATAGATACACCGATATATTCGTGGAAGCCTTGAAGTAGTGTTAATCATCGCTCATCAGGACCAGATGCGAATGTTTATAGTTCATACTTGTCGATGATGTTCCATATTCCCAGTGACCTACTCCATAATTCGCCGCTGAGGAAATTCCGTTATTTATAATTTCTGGCAAGTACATCCGAGAGACATCCTAATGTTAGTCCATTACACAACGCATCACGAAATTCTGAATGCTACGATTATCGGAATGGCATTTGACAAAGACCTACAAAACTTGAAAGTCGTCTATTACAAACGCGATACATTCATCTTCCGATTTACCATGCTTTCATCTATTCGCCGAAGAATCCTCAACTTTGAAATTCGAACGGGGCATTTGTTTCCAATGAAGCCTCGGAATTTATTTTCGCGATGTTTACATCATTGTTATTCGCGAGCAAACAGTTAAATAAATAAACTGACGCAGTATTTCATGCTAAATGACGCTTGTGAAACAGTGGCCCTCACGGAGCAAACGTGATTTATGATGGTACAAATGAGAATTTGTTTCTATTTTCATTTTATTGGAATGTGCGTGATTCATGCGAGAGAAAATGTTTTGTTGAAATGAGTCGGTTTTAATTTTAAACTTGCGATTATTTGATATCTGGGATGTTTTTTAATAAGACTTATCACGCTTATTGAAGACACTTCCGTTGATAGTTAAGTTGTAACTAACCATTTAATATCAACACGGTCATTGAAAGTCGTTTCAATAATACTGACACGCCTACGGACGATTTTCCTACTAATGACACGCCCAGTAATGGTCCGCCTACTACTGGACAGCCAATAACGCACCTCCTACTTTCACCACGCCCGTTGAAGGTCGTTTCACTATTAGCGACACGCCCATTATCAGTTCTCCTATTAGCGACACGCTCACAAACGGTCCGCCTACTGCTAGCACAGCCAATAGTGGACCTAGTACTCTCAGTACGCCCACTTATGGTCCACCCACAACTGACACGCCCATTAATGCTCCGCCCACTAATGGTCCGTTTTCTACCAACACCTTCTAGGTGTTTTGTATACATTTTCTAGGTTCTCTAGGTTCTTCTAAGGCCTTTCTTAGACCTTCTCGTTAAATTATCCGAATTTTACTGATATTACAGAATTAGAAACACCAAATTTATACTCCCATTCGAGTACCACTTGTGATTCCAAAACTTGTACGTTACAAAAATATTTAAATTCTATCGATTTTTGAAATATCCAAGTTCTATTAAATTCACATGCAAATATTCGAAATATCCAAATCCTTCTGATATGTAAAAATTCAAATACATTAAATTCTACTCACATTTCATTCTTCAACTTAAGCAAATTACCCTCATAATTCAATGATTGATTTACCCACATCAAACACATATTCGAATATTACAATTGTTAAAATAAACCTCAATATTCGAATATAGTATTTGGGAAATAAATCATGTATGAATACAGAGAATTGTTAGACAATGAAGAGAAATAAACGTATACGTTACAAATCGAAACGAGACTAGTAAATTAATGATGTATATACTCCTGAGCCAAAGCGATCAACTCTATGAGTCAGAAATAATATGGATTCGACTATAATGTATCTGACTGTCATGGAGGATTTGCTGTACTTACAGAAGCATCGTCGATCGATCGATACCGTCTTTCTAAGCTATTTGTGAATCGAAGAGCTGCCAAAATATCCAAAATAGCTTTTCCTAACATGTATACACGTGCATCCACGTGCATGTCGGTTGTTCGACACAGGGTCTCACTTCCGCAACCTTGAATTACCTTGCCTCTGATCGTCTAGGTCTAAAGTCTAGTGCAGTGATTCTCAAACAATTGAAAGTATACTAATCACTGTTAGTGCAGGAGAGCCAAGTTGAGTAATATACAAATTTAAAAATTTTTCATTTTTAAATCTGAAGATTCCTGTATCGTTACAACTCCTTACTTCTCAAGTTTTCAAAAATACCTAAATACCTAAATTCTCAAATTTCCAAATCCTGAAATTAACAACTCTCAAACTTTAATTTTCTAAAATTCCTAACTACCTAAATTCTCAAATCCTCAGACTATCAATTCCCAACTTTCACAAATTTTGAAATCCCCAAATACCTAAATTGTCAAATACCTACATCCCCAAACTTTCAAAAACCCCCAAATACTTAAATTCCCAAGTTCGTACATTCCCAAACTATCACCTCCCAAATTTCTCAAATTTCCAAAAATCCCCAAGTCCTTACATCCCCAAACTATCAACTCTCAAACTTCTCAAATTTCCAAAAATCCCCAAATACCTAAATTCCCAAGTCCTTACATCCCCATACTGTCACCTCCCAAATTTCTCAAATTTCCAAAAATCCCCAAATACCTAAATTCCCAAGTCCTCACATCCCCAAACTATCACCTCCCAAACTCCCCAAATTTTCCAAAATCCTCAAATACCTAAATTCCCAAACCTCCAAACCCTTAAACTACCGCTTTCCCAAACTTCTCAAATCCCCCCAAAAAATCCCAAATTCCTAAAAGTTTGAGAATCGCTGCCCACAATCGAACATTACATCTGGCCACGAGCCCGTCAGTCCGGAAATCATCAGAATCACGAAATAATTGAAAATAGTCATTGGGTTCGAGGCAACGACAGCGTTGCGCAACGAATTCCCTTCACGGTGGGTCATCATTGTGGAATCTCGCGAGAATTAACCCTAGAACACCGCGATGTTACTGAATCTAACTGGTTTATCTCCGACGGAGAATCTCTTTGTTGATGAACTACGCTCGATGATTCGTTAACTTGTTCGATGCCGAGATAACAAACGCAGTTCGACCGCGAACAAACAAACGCGTGGAAAGCATTTACAAATTTACGAAATTGATCTCTGTATGGCCTTGACCTGACACGTTAGCTGCTTGACGCCTCCATATCTTCTGATTTCGCTTATTTTTATATTTGGCTGATTTTACGGTCTTTCAGAAATCATTGTCCTTGAACGGTGTGTTTTGAAACATTTTCAGTACCGATTGTGTTTTAATATATGTTCAAACAAGGTTTTGCTTTAAAACATGTTTGGTACCAAATTGTGTTTTAAAACATGTTGAAACCCAGCTTTATTTTAAAACGTGTTAGGTATCAAATTGTATTTTAAAACATGTTTAAACCCAGTTTTACTTTAAAACATGTTTGGTACCAAATTGTGTTTTAAAACATGTTCAAACCTAGTTTTGCTTTGAAACATGTTTGATACCAAATTGTATTTTAAAACATGTTGAAACCCAGCTTTATTTTAAAACATGTCTGGTATCCATTGTGTATTAAAACACCTTCAAACCTGTTTTTTTTTTAAACATGGTTCGATAGCAACTATATTTTAAAACACAGTCAGGTTTGAAGAAGTTAACAACAAGATTTGACCTTCATTCGCAGAAGACGAATTCTGAGTCTGAATCTGTACTCCATAGTTTCGGTAATAAAAGATATGAACTCGAGGATAAAATAAACTTTCTTTAGCCGCTGTCCAGTTAAAATTGTCCGGCAGAGAAAATAAGTTCAACGTCGAACATGATGTCGAACATTCTGACAGTAGCTGTTTATACATGACGTAAACTTTGTCTTCTGACAACTATAACTTCACAACGGGGTTGTAATAAAAATAGGTTTTTTAAATGCCAGCGTTCTGTTGGTGGAAACGATATAAATGCAATCATAAATCGTACGGATATAGAACGGGGAATATTAAAATGTACGTTCGAGAGACTGTGAATGTTGAAGATGTGGAAAAATACGAACATTTTATGTTAAGGTGAATTTAACATTTTTTTAAATTGTATTTTAAAACGTTAAATTTGTTAAAATTGTGAGAATATTAATTTCATGTCAAGTATTATTTGTAAAAATGATTTTGTCTGAATTATTATTTGTAGAAATGTTAATTTAATTTTATGTAATTTATTTCAAATTTGTGTTTGTAGATTATTAATTTCGATGTAGATAATTAAAATATATGTACTCTACAAAATTACATACTTCTAATATTACAATCAGTTAATAAAATGAACAATTGATATATGGCTCCTATTAAAAAATAATAAAATAAAATGATCTTTGACTAAGGAGAACAGTATCGTGTTAAGCAAACACCAACTGCTGCTTCTCTAAACTGCAATGAACCGAAAGTAAGCACATTACACCCCCCGTTTTACGATCGCATTAAATCGTTTCCATCAAACGTCCAAGTGGCATTTAAGCACCAGGGAGTTATTGCAATGCGAACGCATTAAGGATGCACGTATGCGCACGTGTTTCTGTCGACAACGGGCCCCTTCAATGGATTGATGCTCTTCGAGACTTCCGGCAAGGCCACTCAACGTGGCTGTCTACTATTTAGAGCTGGCATGGTTGCAGCAAACAGTGGGTATACACCTGTTGCTGCGAGAGCAATCGTTTCTCAGCGAGACAGAGGACGCTTTGTAATCGCGTGCCGTTCAGCTGACAAAACGCGAAACGCAGTATCCGAATCGGATACCTCAGTCAAGGCCGTTACATAACAGTATTTGATTGGACGATGACATTAGTAATTATTTCATTAGCACACCGGATACATTGCACTGGCCCTCGTCGCTCGTTCGTTTCAATTGATATTCACCATTGCACCGCCACGGAAATCGTATTTGGCGAAACGCCTTGGGACAATATTGCACAATCCAGTGATGCCTCATCGATTGCGAAACCTAAGTTAACACGTTACTTATTTTATAACCAGAAAAATACTAACTTGATAAGCTAGGTCATATAAGAAAGTAACCTCTGATTTTTGGCCTCAATTACCACTCTGATAAAGGCTTATGCAGTTTGATAAGGCTCGCCATTTTGAGTAAATCCCAGTAAATCAGACGAGTACGTACACTGTGGATCTGTTGGCTCCTCGGCGCTTCTGAACAACCGGACGGTTGGTCGCAAGCTTTGTTCATGGCCTTCAGTCTTCGAGAAAACGACGAGTACAGTGATGGGCGAAGATGACTGGTTAATTCAAAAGTACCTCTAAATTTCTAAACCTCCAACTTTCCAAATTAAGAAAAATCCTAAACATCACTTGCCCACGGGGCTCAGCACCATCACTGCTAAATCTACACTCTCCACATAAACCCAGTTAATCACTCCATACCCGCACTTTCGATCATCGTTGCTACAGTTCGCTTACTCGTACAAATTAACGTTAGTTCGTACAAAGGTGAGGTTAAACGGTTTTAGCTAAAATCCCTCCACGAGGACGCGGCTGATCGCGACGACCAGAAGAGACACAACGATCGTTCCTAGAGTGCTCTGTTTCGCCCAGGATACGCTCCTGTTCGGGCAATTGGGCAAGGGCTTATCGGTGGTGGTTTCCATCGGTATCATTGACGGAGTGATTTCTTCTTGCGCCGGCAGATTGCCTACCAATGGCGGCGAATGAACGGTGATCGTGTGCTCGTAATAGGGTGCTTGAAAGGTGTTATCTGGCGAGGGCGGGTGGACCATTTCTGGCGCCGTAGGCGGCAAAGATTGGACAACGTTATTCGGAACCGGACTGTTCGTCGGTGGGACGTTATATTCTGGCGGTCCTTCGTTGACGGATGAAACGGTGTTCCTTTCATCCCAGTCGGTCCTATATGGGCCAGTCGCGCGGCCCACATCAGATTCCACGAAAGGCGGTGTTTCGTGACGATCGACTGGGCCGGGTGCCAAAGGGAACGTGGCTTCGCTCGAGTAATATTGTTCCTCGAAACGTCTGTCCTCGTTCTCATGGGGTGGATAAAATGGGTATTCGGATCTGGCACTGGTGGTCTCCGGGACTATTGGCCAAGATCTGAAGGTGTCCTGAACGTTAGACTGAGTTGTCTCGTCAGGTTCTATAGGTGCTATGGTTGCTGGAGGAACGTAAGGCCTTATAACGTTCTCGCGGTACGGACTGGGAGAGCTAGGCTCTACCCTTTCCTCGTAGGACTCCGTCGTTGGCGCTGGAGTTGTTCTCCAGTTAGGAGTGTACACTGGACGGTAGATCACTTCTTCGGTAGTGTAGAACCTGGGTGGTATATACGACGGCGTTGACTCCATAGGCGGAGGAGGTGGTGTGGCTGGTGTCGGATGCAGTCTCTCGCGATGCATGGGCATCGGAGTGCTCGGTTCCTCCGAAGTGATGTCCTCGTCGATGTAGTAATCGTCCGGCACTTCCACAGCGATCAAGTCGTTGGGGATCCTATCCCATTCTGGATCCCTGTCGAAAAGTACTCCTCGGTTCTCGAGGAACGTGCTGATGGCGTTGGGACACTTGAACTCAGAATTCTCTGTAAGGAATATCCTCTTCAAGTCTGACAGGTTCGTCAGGTCTTCCAGGTTTAGGCATTCTAGTCGATTACCGGCCAGCCTTAAGTCGATCAGGCTGGGCAGGTTCCTGAACACTCCTTCCTCGATGGTCTCTATGTAATTGAAATTCAAGTCGAGGTAAGTTAAATAATCGAGACCTCTGAACCAGGCTTCCTTGACGGTCGTTAAGTAGTTATTGTCGAGACTTAGCTGCTGGAGGTAGTTCAATCGCTGAAAGGCATTCGGATCGATGTCCCGGATCTGACACTCCGAACAGCTGAGTACCCACAGGTCTTCGCCGAATCTGGAGAAAGTATCTGCGGTTATCCTTGTCATCGGCATATTCCTGATTCGTATCTTTCCAGTTGACGCAGGGAGATCGTTCAGATCGGTGACTTGTCCACCCTCGCAGGAGTACTCGATCATGTCCTGGTTCTCCACATGTCTGCACTCGCCATGCACTTCACCGACACTTGTACATAAAACAGCTAACAGAAACAGTTCGACGATGGCACCCATTTTAACGAAAACAGCGGACTGTTTTAAAAATACCGTTTGACGAATTTGTCGTGACAGAACGAACGTATCATTATTACGTTCCGACGACTCAGAGATAGGCAGTCATCGTGGAAGGGATTTTAGCCGAAAACTGTAGCGCATCTAGCAGTGAGCCAGAATCGATCTAATTGTTCTGTAGACTGAATCCTCTCATGCGTTCCCTCTTTACTTATTTACTAGAGCTCCCCCTCTCATTCCTTGTACTAGTAGCTCACCTCCTACTACTCCCGATCATGAAGCAGTACTATGTACTGGTAAAAATAGAAAAGCTAGAAAATAGCGCGCTGCACTTGCTCATCGGATCTCTAAGGTGATCTACAACAGAAACACTGGCTATGGCGGGGGTCACGATCAAATTTACGAGCACGTCGCCATCTGCTCGCATACTGACATCTTTCAATACGCTTGACACCGCAACCTTGCAAGTAAACAATACATGGCGCAAGAATGTTTGATCTGATTATGGAGTTTGCATATAAAAATTGTGTGTGCTATTTTTCTACCTGTCCTTCTTCACCTATACTTTTCATTATAATTCATAGCATTTTCATGTCCTTCCAATTTATGTTAATTGCATTAAATAAAATTATTTCATTATCTCTCATATAATCATAAATATAAAGCAACTGGAGGTGAAGAGTTATAAATATTATAGAACACAGTTACCTTGGAAGAAAACTGGCATAATTTAGAAATCCGAGATTTCCTGTTTATGTAACCATGATGTATGTGGTATATTTTTATGTGAATGAGATAAAAGTTAAATATAAAGGTAATGTTAAGTACAAAGGTGTATACTTAAATATAAAGGTTACAAGTTAAATATAAATATAAACTTTCACAAGACTTAGTATAATTTACTTGAAGCACCTGTGAACTTTGAAAAAAAAATGGTGTAATTTTTTAAGAGTGATACTGAATTAAAAATGATAACTCCTTCAAAGATATTTATTCTAAATTGATATCTTGTGAGTTGCACTACTTTTCTTCCTAGATAATCATGTATATAATACTTTGCAACCTACCTTACGTTTTCTACGCTGTTTCTTCTTATCATTTTCTTCCGTGAAGGCTTTATACTCTGGTACTTCACCTTTCTCTATAAGACCTTGGATAATATTGTGTAATCTCGGTTCATCATCACAGTTGGTAAAAGGAACAGTCTCTAAGATATAGTCCATATCTCCTTTGCCTAAAGATAATAAAACAAGATAAGAACAGTTATACTCATAGTTAATGTTATATTGAAAATAGAAATTACTTACTGTCCATATAAGCACGTTTCAGATCCTTAATCTCAATTTCTGACCCTTTGTAATTCTTCTCATAATTATTAATATCTTCAACTGTGATTTTCTTGAAAAGAGACCTCCAGTAGTCTGCCCAGTTACGCATCATAACCTCTTCACTTTCTTCATCATATTCTCCAGATTGATCATAAATCTTGCGTTTTTCACTGTCACTGAGGATTGAATGAATACGTCCAAGTACTTTGAATTTCTCGGTTGCTTCTGCCTTGACATCGTCCTCAACGCGATCAGGATGTACGAGTAAAGATAACTGATGATATGCTTTTTTCACTGAGAGAACATGGAAAACAATGATCGATTAGTAATGAAGTAAAATAATATATTCTTCTTCGTGTATTAAATTAAAGTTTAAGGCAATAAAAGAAAATATGCATAGACAGGTTATGTTCACATACCTTGTTTATCATTGGCAGTTCTTGAAATTTTTAAAACCTCATAGAAATCACGAGCACCGAAGTACTGTTCACAAAGATCTAACAAACTTGCCATAATTTTGATATTTAACTAAATGTTGTTGAATGTTTGATGGTTGCTTAAAGTGACAAGACGGTGGCTTGTTGTTTTCGCGCTTATTTTCAGTACAGTACGTTCAAACAGAAATACAGTAAGCGACATCTATAACTCGTATAAATATCTGTATTATCGGCACTCAATAATATTTTGTAAAAATTAAAATCATAATTTTAAACTAAACTTCATACTTTATATTTTCTATTATTTTTATTATTTTGTGCGTTGATTTTTTAAGGGTTGAAGTGAAGGGATCCGAATAATTATTTTTTTGAAGTATTTGAATTTTCCCTCCAATTTTAAACAGTACACTAATAAAAAATAAAACCAAGTGATAATGTTGAACTCTCCATTTATTTGATCTATAAATTTTTGTCACAAAAAGAGAGGAAATTCCGTTTTCACTTTTTTCTATTTCAAACGATAAATGTAATTTTACGTCAATAAAAAGAAGTACGTCATCGTAAGGTGTATACTCGTACAATAGCAGAGAAAATAAGTGTGTTGGCACAACAATATAATTTATCCATTTATTTATCTCCGTAAAAATTAAATTTGATCGTAATTTGTTAGTGTTGTTTGTTTTTTTTATCAGAAATAACAGTTTACATTATCAATAATATAAATTGTACAAAAATTTTAAGTTCCGCTGAGATACTGAACTGGAAATAAGTTTTGTCAAATGTTTTCGAGTTCAATATCTCGCGTAATTATCTTAAAAGGAATAAGATACGTTTTGAGTTTGTAATATAACATTTATATTAAAAAGAAATTATATAATATGGATTTAGTGTTCCCAACACAACAAACAAAATGAAACCTACCAGTTTACAATGCAGTAATAATGAAGCTAATCGATCGGAGTTACTCAACCGTTATACTAGAATTCGATAAATTTCCCCTATTATAGACATTCGAAAAATTCACATATTTACATGTACTTTACATGTAAAAAATATTACATTCTTTCACCGTATTTATACATTACGTTACTGTATACACCATTAAAAGTCGCAACAAAAATTTGTATAAAACGCCAAATAAATGAAATATAAACAATAATTTAAGTATGTAGATCGAGTGCTTCATTCGTTCTTTTTCTCTCTGTACCAATAGAGTATCCTTACTCTAACACGTATCCGTTTGATCGTAATTACATTTTTGCATCATTTTTTTGTTCGTTTTATTAACAATCTTACAGCGGTGTTTTGTGTTACCTTACAGAGCAATTATATACATTAATTCATGTTATAAATATAAGTTATTATACATTTATTCCTATATGTTCAGTTATGTAGTAAATAATATTTTGAGCAGCTTCTCTTTTCAAGAATATGAAAGGAAGATGGTAATTCGCTTTCATTTTCTTTGTTTTTTAAATTATGAAGATATAAAAGTCTAACAATTCCAATGATTTGTAATTTGCAGTAATAGATAACACTTGTTACATTTGACAAGTTAAAAAAAATATTTCTCAAACAAGTGGAAGAATCAAGACCATTTACATAGCCTTCTTTGGCAGGTATTCTTCGCACGCTTTAAACGAGATTTTAAATTATGCTGTCAATTAGTATTGGTACCCTTGCGATTGTTGTTCTTTAAAATACCAGATATGTAATTTTATGAATTCAAATTTTAGTTCATTTATCAGTTGTATAATACATAACCTCATATTAAAGGAAGAAATTATTTGGCTGATTATCATTATCGCGTTGAAGTACTATGTCCGCATTAATCAAGATATTTCTAAAAATAAAATTGATTAAACCAATCAATTATAATACTGTCGTGAAGCATTTTTCTCTTTTCTCTTTCCATTTGATGCGCTGTATAATACTATAAAATAGAACAATTAAAAGAACAATCAAAAAGGAGTCACCAATCCTAATGCAATATAACTACTTCTACAAGTCATTTTATTTACACTTATGATTGGCTAACGACAATACCGATAAAAATCAGGTAATATGTGCACTATAGAGCGAAGTAAACGTTATCGTTTGTCTTTTTACAGTATTCTGCATGATTCGTCTCTCCCTTTGCAAAATGTATCCAGGCACTTGCTAAGCGATTTCTCGCTTATTACACTTATACAGTAGTCTCGCTATATGGCATCTATTTAATTGACTAACCTCCATAGAACGCTTCTGAATTTAAAAATTCTAAAATTTTCAGATTTACAAATTTTTAATTTCGAATCACTAAATTTAAAATTTGCGATGTCTATCATGCATATGACGTCAGAATATTGATGATGAAATTGGTGGACGCTACTTCAGCGTCGTGCGGGGCCATATAGCGAGACTCCACCGTATTTCATTAGTTTAAACTTGCACGTAGACAGAGAAACGTTATGATAACGTTACTCGTACCTCGATATTGCCTTACAGACAATCATTAACATGATAATTCTCTTCTTTCTTTCCGTGTGAAATTTATAAAAATAATTCCCCGCTAATCATTCGTTATCCATCGAATTAACAATATCGCGATAATATTAACATCGTAAACTTTTATGTTACAAACATACAAGTTTAAATAAAACTACGAGTACCCTCGTTTAACAATTAATCGAACACATAGTCAACTTCACAGTTATTCTAACCTTCACGATCGGTGCAATCTGTTGCATTAGAGGTACCATTATGCTTTGTTCGATGCTATTTGATTAGTTGGCGTGTCTCGGGGCCAACGTTTATTAATTCTTCGCGACTACCACTTTTCGCTCAACACGTTTGGTCTCTTGCTTCTCTCTTTCATACCAATATCGTCGTAATTTCTTGCAATGCTACTTCATACGATTCAACACTAAATCGCATACCACCTGCAGACCTTTCTGGTACGGACTGTCGGCTAAAGATTGTGCGAGCTTCACAGCTTCCACGCAATGTTTTCGAGCTAAGAATTTCGTCTGATCGAGACCTTGGGATTTGTGCACTAACTCGAACGCCCTTTCTGGGTCTCCTGGCTCTTGAAACCGACGCATGATCATTGCATTCAATTCTGGGTACTGTAACAGAAATTACACTATTATTAGTACAAGAAGTTAGTGGTTATTTATTAGTATTCTTTAGTGTTCTTTAAATGTCTAAGAACTAAGATAGATTTCAAAAGTGAAGATGTTGACACAACTTCAGAAATATATAAGCTACACACATTGATAAGATAGCGAATGCAGACTAAAGTACAACTTAACAATCACTGTGATTCTAAATTAACCTATAGATTAAAGTCTGTTGTTGCATTACTGATCTTATCACACTTATTATTTTCATTCAATAGAAGGTTTTCAGAAACCATACAGTGGTACGTAAGAAGTGCTGCATATGTAAATTAGTATAACTTGATGAATCATACAATTTGTTATCACTTGACAAAATTAGATCAAGGTTTTAAATTCTCATCCATCATTGCAATATATTGGATGCTAATTAAATGAACAAGTATTTTGAATACTGTACCAAAGTGGCATGATTCAGCACTATGGTTATTGTCATTGACCAAAGGACTTTTATCTGAGGTGGATCAAATTTTTATAGTGTTAAGTGACTAACAGTGTTTAATATTAACATAGCTTGTACTGAATTTCATAGAATTAGAAGTTTTATATTTAACATTAATTGTATTTTCTATATTTAGCTGCATCACTTGCGTTCAGACTTAATCTTTACTTCTTTTAATATAAGAGTTCATGATTGTCTTTGTACTTAATCTATCATATAAGATAGAACATTTCATAATAAAAAAGTCTACAACTTCTACTTATTTCATTATGTAAGACATAGTATTATTTTATAATGTAAAAATCTATAAGCATGTGTTATCACAGTAAATTCTAGTGAACATTAGTGTAACAACAAAACTCAAAATCCTAGTTAATTACTAGAGAATGCTAGTTACTAACCAATGCTAATAAATAGTATCAGCATATTTTGAAGGACCTGACCCTTATTTAACAATGTTTGTCGCTCAAATAAATGCTAATCAGAATCATCCAGTTTCCCAAATTTACCAACAGTAGATACGCTAATTCCATGACTATTTCATGAATCTCACATATCCTTACCCGTTCACACGCAAAGAGAACCGGAGCGGTAGCAAGACCAAGCTTAAGATCCGCTGCGGTAGGTTTACCCATTGTTGGCAGGGAAGAAACAAAATCCAGAAGATCGTCTACTAATTGAAACGCCAAACCGATGTTTCTACCATACTGGAACGCCAATTCCGCCATCTGCTCATCAGCACCCCCTAGTATGGCTACCTACAATAAAAATCTGGAATGTGAATCTTGCTCTTATATTATGTTTTCAAATATCGTAAATATATTTGACTCACAGCTTTCAAGGAATTCGAGATCAAACTGGCTGTCTTGCGGTAAGTTTTCGTGAGGTAATGCGCGAATCTCTCGTTTTCCGTCTCCTTCGAACCGAGCTGCATAAATTCACCCTGCACCAGGTCCGCTACGACCTGGAAAGCACCTGGACTTGTCAATACTTATCATCAGGATTATATCTGGATCCTAGGATTACAGATGTCACGAGTTGGCGCGTGAGCTCTATCCTCACCAGCGAAAGGTGCGCGTGACTGATTCTACCGCCAAAAATACATGTGGGGCGTCCATTTTGTTATTTCGACCTATTGGAGATGTAGGTCTGGACATGTGGGTCTCACGCGCCAGCTCGTGAGTTGGCATCGGTAGATATACTCGAAACCGTTCAATTATTACAGAAAATTAATTTGTACAAATATGAGATTATTAAATAGGAATGATTTGTGATTTTTTAAGGAATAAGAGATATGTATGTGTACGAGTATAACATATATTAATAAATATGAATAAGTTTGGGAATTTATTTTGACATTTTCATGTGTTTATATGAAGAAAGGCTTACACCAAAGAGTATGGAAAGAAAATTCATAAAATTCTTTCTTATGTCTTGCAATTATACATATAATTTGAAATATGATTTCTGTAAGTTATACCTGACTAAGGGTGAGGGTAACATCGTCATTTCGTAGTTGAGAAATCATAATGGACGCGACTGCCAGGACATAGTCTCCCGCCATTGTAACCTGAAACAAAAACAGAACAATTTGTTGATAACATTTTAATAAATAAACATAATAATTTTCTTATATTCGTAATCGACTTCTTTATGGAAATCAGCAAAGTGTAATACGAGGGTGCAACAAATGTTACGTACATTTTGAAAGCAACTTACGACCCAGAACCTTATTTCAAAATCTGCAAAAAACTTCAATGAATCATTTTCTCTGCAAACTCTTTCCAACACTCCTCATTTCTTGCAAACTGAGTCTAATACATTAGGTACTGTACAAGTTAAGTCTCAGGATAATTAATTACGTTAATAATTAATAATTTAATAACACAAAATTCATACTTGGTTTGAATGTCTCCATAGGTCAAATCTTATGAATGCGGTTTGCTTGGAGGATGAAGAAAATGAAAAGAATTTAATCAAGACAAATAAATTGCGATAGTAGGATTGGCAAGCATAATAAAACGGCCATGTAGAATTTAGGTGCGCGTTTCCTTTCACTGAACATCTTTCGAAACAGAATCGGTGAAGTTGAAGCTGGTGAATGTTCGACATCCAAAGATGACTCGTGCATTTGTTTTTATAATTCCTTTTTACTTCGTTTCAACATACAGAGTAATTGGGGTTTTTATCTGCGATGAGTTCTTTCGCAGAAGGTCGCTTTAATAAATGTGACACGTTATAGTTAACTCTACTAATATAGATAATTCTGACTTGCTGTTTGCAATTTCATGTAATGGAAACACTTAGCAGTTTATCTATACTTATCCAAAAATAAATGAAAATAGCTTATTTAAACCTGTGCAAAAAATAAATAAAGACAGTTTATCTAAATCTATGCGAAAATAAACAAAAATAATTTGTGTAAACATATACAAGATATAAATAAGAACAGTTTATCTAAGTCTATGCAAAAGTAAAAAATAATTTATCTAAACCTATACAAGAAATAAACAACACTTTATCTAAATTTACACAAAAATAAATAACACTTATGGTTGGGTTCTAGAAAATGGGGTACCCTGCGATTTAACTGATTTATATATCAAAAGAAAGCCCTTGACTTGGCGATTTTAACGGTGGTCATCCCACCCCTTAACTCCCACCCCTCTGCCCCCTAGAAGCCAAAAACTGAAACGGTTCAAAAAGTGATTTTTCCCCATATCTCAGCGAGTTTATTATTTCCATCCCTTTTTTTTTTATAATCAGATTTGGTTAGGTTATTCGTTTGGGTCGGGGGTGCAGGGGGAGGGGGGTAGACCCTCC